TTCTGAAACTTAAAATGCCATATAAATACACCGCAGTTCCGTTGTATTTTATTTTCTTTATCGCGTTATTCTTTGGATGAAACAGTAAGCTAATCGTTACTGAAGATGCTTCCGGAATCGGCACTTGTATACTTTTTTCTAGCTACTTCACGCATCAACGTCGGAGTCTTAGACCTATTTAGGTAAAGGATGTGGTGCAGTAGCGCTATGTAAGCCGACGGTATTATGCCTTCTAACGTATTTCCTGTATTTGAGTCAAGTGTTCTGATCCTAATGCAGTATTTGATCATTTGAGAATTTTTGCCAGATTTTGTCTCAGCTGTTAACGTTGTTTCTCTTGTTATTATGTTTTGTTAATCCTGTGCGGTTTGCTTATGCTCAAGAATACCCGAAGCGTAACTTCCTTGCGACTGTTACATCGGTATTTGGGTGGTGGCAGTGATGCACCGCAGTGGACAGTCGCTAGGCTTGATCGATCGGAGATGCGCGAATTGGACGTCGATGACCTGCGAACTGTGGTGCCAACACGGTGATATGATGTGGTTATACCCTGGCTTACAGAGCTTGTGGTCGATGCAAACGCTTTACGATAGGATATGAAATACCTGATCACATCGTCCTGTTTTAGAACAGATGTATGCAGGAATCATGTCCACTGTCAAAGACGAGGGGTATTTGTCTGAATAGTCCTCTAGTGACTTTGGAGTTCGCTAGAGAGATTTGCTTTCGCCTTCGCTATTCAACGATGTTCGCTACTTTTTTCCGGAATTAGCGCAAATGCTCGCAAAAATGATGGTATCATTTTAAGGGGAAGGCACAGTTTAAGATGTTAGGCTAGATATCTTGCTAACCTGCGGTAAGCAGATGGTACCGACTTAGTGGTTAATACAGGGCGCCGATTCTATCGCCTGACTGTTTCCGTATGCAGTTCAGCTGCGCCGGGCCCTGCCTTAACGCCCGGCAGTCCCAAGTTATGATGAACTTATCAAACAAGGCTGGTCTGCAATTGAATAGAGGGTTGAAACCCTTCAGGAGGTTCGCCAGTTTCTGTATTTCAGCTAAATCATTCTCAGGGATACCTAGCCAGAGTTAAATAAGTGGATCGCCTTTAACCTCGAGTACTTTTGGAAACCTGTCCAATGTTTCACCTGAGAAAGGATTTACTATTCCCACGAAAATCCGTCTGTACCTTGCCTCTGTCAGATCGGCATGGAGACAGTTGTTCTAACAAAAGAGCAAGGATGGCTGTTGCAAGGCAGACAACAGCGTCGTCTTTCATGCATAATGATGATTAACAACGATGGCAGAACCACTTAAGGAATGAATCTACTCACTTACGGGCACAGATGATTTCTGTAGATTTGGATATTAAGAAAATGAGATCGGCTCTGTTAGATTGATTGACTGATTGAAAGTGATTAACTGACTGATTGAAAGTGATTGACTTCAGTCTATTGCTTTCCGTGTCGAAGCGGAAACGCAGCAGACGCTGACCAGGCGCCGAGCGTACAATTTTGAGGAACAAGCTGGAGGCAGATCTACTTTGCTGTAGTCGATGCCTTATAGCAAAAATTTTGACACGTTGCGGATGGCGGAAATCACAAACCAGGGACGTTCTGCTCGTTCAAACGGCTCGAGATGATGATCTCAACAAACGACAAACACTTTAGACTGTACGATGCATTGAGTACCTGATGGCTGCCTTAATCAGCATGAGGTGCAATGCGTAAATAAAAATGTACTTGTCAAACACCTGATATAATAATTTTCGTTCGTCATCTAAATGTTATCTGGTTGTTAGCCCGTTTCAAGTTACGTAAAATGTATTCAGGATCGTGTCGTTAAGTGCACAGGTGTAGTGCTTGTTTTAAACGCTATGCTTAGGGAACCGGACGACGACATCAACGATGTTGCGGCTATGGGTGGAATTAATTTGGCCGAAGAATCACAGAAAATCCTTGCCTCTACTGCCGAACTGTTGAGCACCGAAACGCGCAGTTGTGGACCAGAAGAAGAATTCCTGTTCACAGCTCCTCTGCAAGAACGGATTAGGTTTGTGTGCAAAAAGAAGGGCGTCGAAGACTCTAAACCAGAGGTAGCCAGCCTTATTTCCAACGCTGTCCAAGAACGGCTCAGACAAATGTTTGAACACCTCGCTACTTTGGCCGAACATCGCACCGATTCTCTTAGGGTAAGCTGATTGTGCTTATGTGCGCGAATGGTTGTGTGAATGCCGTAGTTGGTGTTATTTCCTTTTTGCTGACATTGATCAGTGGCTTACACGCGAAGCAGTACAGTTGCAAGATGTTTTACAGAGGTACGTTGCACCGGGGATGTGACCGATTATGTTACGTCTCTGTGTATGAGAGGTGTTTGTGATGCAGCCATATGCGAATGGCCCTTTTATTCACACATGTTATCTGAAGCAGTCCTGAAACCGAAAGCGCTTCTTTTTTGTGGCTGAACGATTTTGATCGCGGTGATCGGTAGCTTAAATTGCTTGATTTCAGAACAATCCCCTTTACACCCAGGTGTCCGACGTCCGCGCCCAACTGCGGTTCATCGAAGAGCTGGATAATCAGGAGCAGAAGCGTCGCGAGGAGCGCGAGAAGGAAATCGTGATCAAAATGGCCAAGAGCCGGTCGACGAAGATCGCTGACGCCGAGCAGCAGCGGATCAAGGAGCGTGCCAAGGAGGTGTGTAGTGACGCGGTCACCTCTGTGCATGTATTCTCGTCTACTGTCGTTTTGTGCATATAGTTGCAAAAGGCAGAACAGGAGGAGCTGCGCAACCGCGACGCGAATGCCGCTGCCCAGCTGGCGCTATCGTCTTCTCGCAAGCGACCGTTGGTCGCTACTGGCAATGCGGACGGAGTGAACGCAGTTTCGCACCCACTCAACGTCGTCGGCACAGCCGTTTCCCCTAACGTCAGACCTGTGACCACGCAGCGGTTCTCGTCTTCCGCGCTGTCCGGTTCCGCCGATAGCTTACTTAGAACAGCACAGGTACGTTGTCCATATTGTCGCAGTCTCTTGTCAACCCTTTTTTCACGGTACACTGAATCACTCTCTTTTGCTGTCCTCGCCAGTTTTGCGCTAAACACAGCATTTCGATCAGTTCGCTGCAGATACGCACTAGCAGAGTAACACTTCACGTACGCTTCAGATACGAATTGTCGTTCGACGACTTTCATCTGATTGCTGTCTTTGATCATTTCGTTGATTTTTCTTCTAAGCCATTGCATAAACTGTAACTCTCAACTAGAAATGGTTCTGATACCAGTCGTACTCTGGACCATCGATTTATCTCGTCTGACAGGTCAGCTTAAACCGACACTGAAATCTGGTTCTTTTCTGATTGTCGAACAATTTAACGAAATGCTACTTCTGTAGATAGTTTGCTGATTCGTCGTTGATGGCACCAAACTACGCAGATAATAACGCAACACGTTATTGTTACCGACGCGTTTCACTGCGCACGCCGTAGCAGGGTCAGGGCATGATTAAACGGATTTTACAGGCGATAAGCTACTTTACATACACAAAAATACATCGATTTGAAGTGAATGACAGACATGTTTTGGCCAACATCGTCATTACTTAAACTTTTGTCATTTATTACGCCGTTCCAAACATTTTTGTCAGATTTGTGAAGGGGACGCTTTCAATTCAATTTATGGTGTCCGTTTGTCGGACACTGACTCACTCAGCCAGACACGTACACCCGAGATTTTGTGCTCCAGCCGTTCTTTTCGGAAACATAGAGGAATATGCATTTACGCGCGCATGAAACATGCAACACCGCTTCCGCCGTAGACGCCAAAATTCGACCATATTTATCACGTTCTCGTGGAGAATCGGTATTGAAAGAGGACACTTGACTCTGAAGTTTGTACCCATGCTGCAACGTGATGACGCCTTGTCAGAACTCTTACGGTAATTTTACCATTCGTTCCCCGGGT